TGACTACTAAAACGGACTGGACCAACATGAGTCTACATCGGGTTCTGGCAAGCATTATCAGTAATGCGCACCCTATAACAAATGCCAAAATTCGGGGTGCGTTGACAGGCCCCGTTGCAGGCTCTCGCTGCGGCAATTTGGATCCCTGCCGCCTGTCCCCCCCCCCGCCCACTGTTGCTGCTGTCGAAAGCCCTGATCAAGTGTTTGTTGTGGACCAGGAGGTGGGGTGGTACGCCTAGGTGCGGGTTCACACCGTGTGAGCCACCTGCGGCCTCTCACGCCTCCGGTCTACTCGACTTTGACATGACACAGGACCCGGGTGGGTGGGGACGAGAGAGTGCGGTAGGTGCTGCGCAAGCCTACTGTTACTATAGACTGATTCTCGCGCAAGTCACGGTCCCTGCCCTCACCATGTTGTTTATAGTCGAAATTGACAAACGGACTATCGTATTTTTTTCGGAAACGTGTTTCGCTGTTTTCTTCTTGACTTTGCAGGTGTCAAATAACCTGTTGACCAAGTCCGTTAGATGATGACATCAACTCGCCCATGCTATAACATTACGTCTGTAGTAGAGGTTCACTGGAGACGTGAGTACTTTGTGCAAACGTATTATGAAGGAGGGCAGGTATGTGTGTCCCAGGTTCATTTTGCAGAGAATCGCGATGAAGTTTACGATGTCAGATGGACGTCTAACAAGGTTGAAAAATGGTTTATCGCACCGATCTTCTAGGAAAGATAAGGGAACCCTACCACTTAGACGTTAGCCAATAAGCGTCCAAAGCAGCATATATTGTATCCACTTAGTGTAGTTCACACAACATGCGATGAAAAAACTGGGTTACTGAAGTCAAAATGGTGAATTTTTTCCTTGATTATTTTTCCACTCAAACTTCTTTGAAGCACCCTTCTTGCAAAAGAAATTTCAACAAGGCTAAATTTGCCAAGTAAGCCGAATTTAACTATGCTATTATGTTTCACGGTGGCTACTTCCGCTTCCTTAGGGTCCGTGCTTGCGCCGATCTTCTGTAGTCTTGACATTTTCATATCATTGATGTTGGGTAGGTTTCAAAGTAGTCTTGTTGCATGCAACCCCGTTTACTCCAGTCTTACTGGTGTGCCCTCACACTTTATCTTGTCGACTTGCTAAAATGGAATGCAGACCGAAGTATCCTAGTCGCAGTCCCTCTGCAGACCGCCTTTGAATCCCATTTCTATCTCTGTGCCCTCTATGACTTGCCCGAGATTTGCCTTGGACAACCTATGGTACTTGGGCTCAGCCGGCTCGCCTACTCATAAGCTGGACATTTTTGTTGTCCTACGTGATCCTCCACCCTCTCGACAACGGTAAATCGCGCATAAACTATGAACCGATTGTGTGAAAACAATCTGCAGTATTCGGCGGGGTTGTTAAAAAACGGCCAGTTTACGATAGTCTGGAAGTCAAATTAATTCGGCCTGTAGTGCACTTCAAGAATAGCCCTGGGGACCGGCGAACGAAAGTGATGTTTGAAAAATGTTTACCACTCTCGCAGTTTAGAGTTATGCATAAATGTGAATTACATATTCAGGCGCCCGCTTCAGTTGGATGAAACTTTAACTCCATCGGTCCTCTATTCCGTCTCGGATCCCTAACATACAGAGAGGATAATGGTTATTCTTATGCCCGGTCTTACTTCAGCTGGAGTGCACTAAGTGGTTTTACGGCGTGGATACTAGCTTTCCGCCCTCGGCCCCGCTCTTTTCATGCCGACAGATTGCATGTGAACAACCTAACATGCCTAACGTGCCCTCCGACTGCTTTGCAAGTTAGTCGCTATGTCGCATGCCTGCCCACCAAATCTATGAATCACACGACATTCTTCTGTGAGGCGCTTCCTCTCCGAGGGTCAGCAATACTGTAATTTTGAATATTAAATACTGACTGACTGTTTTGATTTGTTTCGTCCTGGCTTCGATACAGATAGGCCTACTCTTTCAACCTGACTAAGTTTCTCCTGTCCATTGGGAGTTCTATATCCCCATTCTCCAGATCTTTCTACACGACCTGATACACCAACGTTGAAAGCGTTTGTAAACTGCCCTAGATCTTTAGTTCCCCAGGACTATTATTCAACCGGATGAAATGCAGCGCCCTGGTCTGAAATTAGTAAGGCATCAAACAGAATCGCATTTGAACATTCGTTCCCTCTACACCATGAAACAGGAGAAGTAGCTTACAAAGGAATAAGTAGCAACATTGCATGTTCAATAATCGACATCCTCCTTTTTCCTCCCTGGACGATGGATGATGATATCACGAGACAACGATCGGCACTGATGAATGTACGCGTTGGTCAGGTCGTCCCAAACAGTAGTACTCTCCTTCCTTTCTGCACGGATGACTTGCCGTCGAAAGATCATTCAACAGCTCTAACTGCTTCTTATCTGTTTACTTATTGTAATCTGCCCGCCCCTCCTTGAATTCTGTTCTGCGCAAACGACAGGTGTGTCAAATTGTCGAGTGATCCCCTTCTTGAATCTGTAGAGCCCAATTACTGGGTCAATGGAGGGATCTGTGCACTCTTTAAGACATCGCATAGCCCGTCTATGAGCGTCTTAATTGCGTAAATGTCGATCGAGATTCAGTGGTTCCTGTTGCCGCTCTATGCTGTGAAACAAACGAATTTTCGGCGGACACGGACTACGGTCAATTGACACCCTTCCACATACTGTCCTCACACACCACCTCATTCCTTTGGATTGTTGCCGGCCCCCTTCCACGCACGCAGTTTGCCACCACATTTTCCCAATCCGAAACGAGATTGTTCGAACAGGACTGTGCGGTCTCCTCTTGGACTTCTCACAAGCGCACTGACTCACGGTCCACTTCAAGCGTGTATTGCTGTGGTCTAGGGGAAATAACGGTCCCCTCAGTCTCTTACTTGCAACCTGGCCGCATTTAAACTTCACCTTAGAATTCATAAAACACTGACGCCGTAACCTCTGACTGGCGAGATGATTGTTTGTCATGCACTAGCACGCGGGCGCTGGCACTGTGGGATGTTCTACCCTGTCATTTCGTCTTCTAACTCAATCTTTTCTACCACAGGTCCTCTTTCAGTAAAGCACCCGGGCCGTCCTGTTCCCATGATCGATCAGGCTAGCACGCAGCCGTCTGCATCAAACAACTGATGTTGAGCCGCATGTTTACATCCTCCTGCATGGGTGGTTCGCCATGTCAGTTTTGTCCTTGAGGCACGCCACGATCTACGTGTTGATGTGTGCAACTCTGTACGGCTGATGTCCGATGGTCCGGGGGTTATGAACTGAGAACTCCGACAAATTAACCACGAAGTAGTATTCGCGTTTCGTTAGCAGGCCCTTCCTAGGGGTTGGCCGATTTTTTCTCAAATTGTCCCGACTGTCTACCTTGTAGCCGCTCTTAACTGAATTTTTGCTCTTCGCCATGGTCGCCTGGCCCTTGAGGTTGTGCCTCAGCAACACCCCTTTCGCCTACGTCCATTTTGGTCCAGTTCATGTGAGCAAAGGTAAGGCTGGCGGAAGTGCCTGATACGCCCGGAAACGAATATTCGGGTATGGAAGCGAATTAATGCTGGCCAACAGGTCTTTCACACGGCTAGCCAGCCATACATCTTTGTTACTGACATGAACACAAACCTCCGAAATTCAGGTAAAGCATCTATCCTTAGGAGGCAACTTAGGCAACCGCAAGGGTACGAAATAAATAAGATCATCCTCGTCGTCTACTGTGCACTTGCGGTGAGTCGTGATAATAATAGTCCTTGTGGAACAAGCTGCAAGAAACGCAATCTATAGGCGCCCAGGTAACTGAATAAATAGTCAGGTTGGCAACGCGGTTCGATCAAAGGGACTAAGACAGGCCTTAAATGAAAAGACGCAGGCGGGAAAGCAAAATACTTCGATAAGCGCTCATTATTTTGGAGGCAGTAGAATAAATCTCCACAGAAAACGAGTTTCAAAACACAAAAACACGGGTTCACCGACAAAATGCATCCCAATAGGAGAAGGAAGTAAGGATGAGCAAGCACTAGCGAACGAAACCGAAAGTCGAGCGAGGCAAGGTGGATGTGGTTGTGGGTGGGCAGCCCAAAGAAGGTAAGGCGAATTAATTTGTAATGACAAAAAAATTAACTTCGACAATTTTACTAACACACATTTACAAGGCCAAGGCGAATGTGGGAACTGAAACGCTGGTGTTTATAACGCGGAGGGTGACGTGAGAAACAGAAGCTTGGTAGAAAGTTACCTAATAATCGGTTTAAAGCGCATATACCAGCTGTTGGAGAAATGTAAGCCGAAACGTCCAGGGGATAGAGGGCATAAGAATTCCGCGTTAGCAAAGCAGAAGGCGCCGTAGTCTGCCTTGGAGGGTGGAGGAGGGGGAAGGGTGATGGGAGGGGAAGGAGTGCTTGAAACAATGTCGGCACTCAGATGAGCCGTCAACGCTTCGGGGAATTTAAAAGCAGACGTTGGGGTGGGACGGATGTAATCCGCTCGGACCGACATTCGCAGCAACAACGGCAGGAATGTGGGCACTCGAAATGGCCGGTTGCACATACGTACTCGTTAAGAACGACATCTTCCGCGAAAGTTGTGGGCGAAAAGCCCGAGAAGCAAAGATCTCAGCTGTTCCGAACCAAAAAGCATGGACTGGAAATCAAACATCAAATGCTGCACCATCGTCATGAGGCCAATTCCTGCTCGGACAAACTTGCGATAAAAGTGTTGACAGTGGACATGGAATTCGGTCCAAACAGCTCAACCCCAAAAGTCAGACTTTACGCATAGAAAGCAGGGGGTATGGAACGAGTAGGGTTGAAAGCCGATAGAAAATGCAAAAGAATCACGGACTTCGAAACTAAGTGGGTGAGGATGTGCACGAGCCAGCATGACGGGCTGCATTAGAATCAAGAAAACTAGATTTCATCAGCTCTGGTTCGCACGAACAATGTGCGTGGGTGGGACAGCTACAGGGGAATCACTTTTTGCGCATAAGTGTAAGGAACTTTTTCTTGGGAGCTTTGGAGGGTGCCTGACCACTACCGCTGGGCTGCTGTGGCTCTTCGAGTTGAAGAGCTGTGGACGGTAAAGTTGCCGCCTTACCCGCAGCTAGGCTAGCCGAGGCTGAAGATAGACCACCGAGACTGTTGGATATGGCGTTGATTGCTTCTATCCAATTGTGCATCTCGTCATCGCTACGGGCCTGGAAGAGGGACTCTCCCCCGTTTTCGAGCTTCAGGCGGAACACATACATGCGTTTCTCGTAGTTTGTTGCCGGAACTGCGACTGCTCCAGCGAGACTAACCGGGGCCTCCCTGTGATACAGATCACCAGGTTTTTCGTGAGCATGCTTTTGGTCCTTGTAGGCTGACAGGGTGCCGGTAGTGGCCGAAAGCACAAAGTATAGTTCGTGCCAGGATCGAGCTGAGGCCTTTTTAGTAGCCGACTCCCACTCATGCTTCCGATGGAGAAGAGCCTCAAGGTTACTCGGAGGTGGGCGACCAGAGTCGATGCTCTCGCGGATGCTACGACCGGTTGGTGTTTCAACGCCCGGCCGCCCTGGCGTGCCGCTCACAGCCGCGGCAGCAACGGCTGCTTGGGCAGGAGTTAAGGGCACCGGTTGTTTGGGTGGTTGGAATTCACGTGTAGCCTCCGCAATTTTTTGCTTCCTAAGTTCAACGCGAGCTGCTTCGCTTTCCGGTGTTCGCTCGCTTGCTTTTAGCTCAAGCTACAAAGAAGGTGTCATATGATAATTCACAATTTTCAGGTTATAAATTCCGAATTAAGCAAGCAGATAGGCCCACGTGGGACCAGTTCGTGAAAAAAAAACACTAGAGGCAATGTCGAGGCATAAAGTAAATGTGTGAAAAATGATCTAGTAATGCGAGTTCGCTTACGTTAGTCAACTTCTGGAGAGCCAAGAAACGCTCCTCCTGGGTGGCAGCAGCACGTTCGAAGGCAAGATGCTTTTTCAAAAGGGCCAAGGTTTCGTCTAAAGATTCACCAAGATCTGAGCTCTTGATGAAGGACTCTTGGGCAATTAACCAGGCCTCTGCGACAGCAGCATCCCGTGCGAACTGGTAAACCTCGAGAATTAGCTTCAGGTGCTCCCATCTCTCATTCCATTGTTCAGACAATAGGATGCGCTCGGTAACCAGCTAGGAAAGAAACATGTTTATTTTCACTCATAAACCGCGTTCAAAAAGTAAGCATGGCTGGGAGGTGGAGGGACAAGTTCTTCAACGAACCTGAATGCATTTCTCGCGAATTTCTTCTTGACGTGGATGGTTCCTGTTCAACAGTGTGCGGCCGAGGCTCAGGCAGATGCTAAAGTTTTCTTCGCGAGCATCGATTTCGGCCTCCAAACTCCGATGATTATTCATAAGCAATTCAACACCCGAAACGTCCCTGGAAATTAAGAGAATGAGTATTATCCCATGGAATAATAAAAGTGGTCATCAGCCACGAGTTTCCCGCTCGAAAGACAAGAAAGGGAGCATTGCCAGTTTGCGGTGACTGGTAGATTTTACTGCATCGTAGGACCACAAAAAGTATGGAAACACCAACAAGTCCACATTCAACCGAAAAACACTTAAATCGGACACCAGCTCGTTGCCTTAGGACAATTTTTTACAGGGCCGAGAGCGTTATAGGCAAGAAATGTAAAAGATAAAAGGCCGGCTGTAAAAATAATGACTTAGGATGAATCTCTTGTCATAAGAACATACGTGGTTGTCTGTGAAATACTAAGCCGCACTCGACGATAATCGGGGCAATTCCAAAAATATACTTCTGAGGAACGAGCGCAAAATAGGCTACATAACTTCTCGCAGCAGTGTTGCAACTTAAAGCAAAACAAACCTTGGCTTCTCCTTAGAGCTCATCTCAGTCTGCATTATTTCCATCCAGAGACGAAGCTCCCGGACCATAGCAAAGAATCGGTGCACGTCGCTGGCATCAAGGAGGTGAACCTTGCGCTGCTCAGCAGAGTATTGCAACTGGCGCCAAGCCTGAACAACCTCATCACGACGATCACAGATGATACGCTCTTTATCACCGGCGTAGCTTGGAAGGAGAGTAGTGGCGAATTCGACGACCTCCTCCACCTAGAAGTCCGAAGACACCGAGAAAGAGATTGTAAATTCAACGGTTTCATCTTAGGCAAGAGCAGAATTTTAGGAAGACACAAACCTGTTGGCCAAGTCGTGTCAGCTCTGACTCGAATGCAATGTGCTTCCTCTGCAAGGCAGCAACAGCTTTAGCATCTCGGCCGACATCTTCGGGAATCGCACCAGCTTTCTCAGCGATGCGATCAAGGACATCCTAAACAAAAAGGCAGAATAGTAAGAGCAACCGGAAGCGTAGAAGAGACCACGATCAGTCTAAAGATGGCATGATTGGCTAGGCAGGCATATAAACACTGTGAGCGGATTTCGACCTGTCTAGCCGAGGCTTAATGAAACGGGAGAATAAATGTTGGCAATAGTAGGCATAATGCGATCAGAAAAATTTAAAAAAAGCTCACTTGACAGTCACAGAGGAACTTGTGAAGATCCCAAGCGGCCTTTAGGAGTTGAATGCGAGTCTCGATAAGCTCTAGTAAGTCAGCCCAAGCCTCGTTAACACGGTCTTTCCAGCTAGCAATTTCTGCAGCCTCACCATGACCCTGTGTAATCAGCGCGTCGCAGAGCTCATTGGCGGCATTGACACGATGTTTGCCCAGTTCATTGGTTTCACGAGAGAATTCGGCGAAACGTTCACGAAGGAGGCAGCAGTGTTCGTAATCAGCACCCATTTCGTGGCTACTAGCTATCACAGTGCGCTCAGCGATCCAGGCCTAAAACGGAGGTATACCAAAATTTAGTAAATTTCACAAAAACTAAAAATGATATCCGTTGAGGGTGGACGCTATTAAAATGCTATAGCTATTGACGAAGAAGAAATTGTAAAAATATCTTAGAGCTTACCTCAAGATCAAGGATTTCTCGGAGGAGGCTGTACAGTTTCAAAATTTCTTCCAGACGAAGGCGTCTTTCAAGACAAAGGTCATGTAGCCCAGCATACATCCTATCTACACGCGACTGTTTGGAGGCAACAGCCTCAGCTTCAGGGTGGCTGCTCTCGATCATTGCACGACTACGATCGCCCAGCGATCGAATCTCGCCGGCGTAGTTCTCAATAGTCTTTTGCAACAGTTCGTGCTTCTTCATAGCGCTGTTTGCGCCCTGCTCATCCTGAAGAGGGGAAAAAGAAAGGCGAACAACTAGTTATGAGGGGAAGTTCTGTAAGATTCCTCTGATGCCACGCACTTCGAGAACGCATCAACTTAAACACGAATGAGATCTAGTTTAGCAAGCAAACGCACCTTCGCTTTCTCGCTACTCATGAGGTATAGTTCCTGTTCACCCATCCAGGCCTCAGCCTCACTGGCATCAAACAGGTACTGCTGGGCCACCTCATTCAGATCCAGGGCATCTTGACGAGCCGCGACAGCCTTCTGCAGGTCTGCCCAAAGGGAATGCAGTTCATCAATGCCCTCGCGTACATTGGCAGCGTGTGGATGACCTTCGTTAATCATGGTTTCGCCCTCCTAAAACAGACGAGCGGAACATGCATAGACAGAAAAATGAACAGGCGTAGTAAGTTACTTTGCGAAACACGTAACGTTTCTAAATAAAAATCCAAACAGCCGTAAATAAGCAGCACGACTCCTTCGAACGGAGCACTTATTGGTCTTGAAGCGACAGCACCGAAATGAACATTTAGCCAAATAAGTATTTGTATTGAACGACTACATAAAGCAGAACATGTTATAGAAAAAAAAACATTTTCGTGTGGACACTGGCAATTTGCGAATTTAGTTTATTCAACCAAGGAAAGTGGTCCAGGACCAACGATGGAACACCACTCTGGGTAACCCTGAGCAGCTGCAAAAGTAAGCCTAGGATTGCTAAGAGCTACCATCGACGTATTTCAAAAAGTACATTTAAAGGTACGCCGTTAAGAGAAGCAGATACACAATTAGGAAACTCTGGTCGGTTTCGAGTACTCAAGATTGAAGTGACGTAAGGTCAAAACTACGGGATGAAAAGTTTAAACACATAAAGTACACTCACGTTGCAGATGGCCTCGATGCGGGGGTGGTGATTGTCAACCTCATTGGCTAGCATGCGGTGACGACGCTTGAGTTGCTGGCAGGAAAGAAGACTGTTACCCAACCGGTTAGAGTCCTCCAGAAGCTGAAGTTTTTCGCGCACCCAGTCTTTTTCATCCTCCAGATCTCGGAAGAACTGGCGAATCCGCTTCTGTTTAGCTAGGCGTTCACGGCGGTCAGCCATCGGAGCTTCCAATTCGGTCAATCGGATGCGAACTTCCTTGTGAACCTGCTCGAACTCATCTTTGCGGTCAGGATACTGTTCCTTCAACTTTTCAGCGTGAGTCTGCGAAAAAAACGATGACAACATTGCTTACAGATTGAAGTTCACAGGAATTAAACGGAATTCAGCACGTGAGGAAAGTATATACTACTTTGGCAAAAATCTGGAACACACGAGGTCGTGTTCAAAGTTCTCCAATCCATGAAAAGAGCATGAACAAACTAGATAAAGGTGCAGTGGAAAAACTATACTCGCTGACGAGACTCAAATCCGAATTAACAGTAGCCCATCCACGTCGACACCGTTATTAAATTGGCGAAAATCTACAGAGGCTACCTGAGACGAATTAAAAACTCCGCAGTGGAGGAAACTGCATCCCAAATTTACGCAGTTGACCTTGACGAAGCATGGCCGATGGATTTATCCACTGAAGTTTCACTAGGGCAAAGACTTTCCACCGTCAGGACGGCAGCGAGACTATCCAACGGTCTTTTGGGCACATAGATCTTACGTATCGTATGCATTTCATGCTTTATCAAACATGGACTTTAGACTCAGAAACGAATGGAATTGTAAAAGATTACACTATTAAGTGCGTCAAATGTTGGAAGAAGAGTCGAGCAACTACTAGGAGTGAGTCTATTGTAAGCAAAAACTATATAAATCTTACAGCCATATCCTCCAACATCTTGCGCTTGGCAACCAGTTCCTGCTCCTTCTTCTCCTGATCCTTGATCTGCTCATTGAGCTCAACGAGGCCGACCTCCTCCGTAACTTCCTCGGTTGTGGTAACTATCTGGGAGCTGATTTCCGTAATCCACGTGAGCATCGACTTGGCTGTCTCGTCAAAGAGAGCCTCTCTATTCGAGTCGGCCAGCTTGGCACTCTGATCAACGGCCTGAGTGTTTAGATCGTCCCACTGACGACGAAGCACCTCCACACGCGGCTCGATCTGGGCCTGAAGTTCTGGCTGCTCAAGCATAAGTTGTTCGCCAGCCTGGATAACCTTCTCTATCTTGTCTTTGTTGGCATCAAGTTCGCTTTCGAAGGTCTTGAACTTGCTGTAGATCGCTGCAATGCCAAACTGATCTCGAGGGGGCGGAGCGGCCTGCGCAACAATGTTCTTTTCAGCGATCCATTCCTCGACCTGCGAGACGCAACAAAAATAAAAGTGAGTAGTCTCACTGACGACCGTAACCGCTGCCTGATCATTTGGAGAGACAGAACTTACGTCATCAACGTCTTGACAGAAGCCTTGCAGTTGACCTTGTTGAGCCAATAGGGCTGATCGCTCCTGGGCCTTCTGTTTAACTGCAGCTCGTCTGTAAGGAGCGCGAAAGCAATCAGCAAATTGAGTTTCAATTGGCGAAAAACTGACGTGAAATAAAGGGCTGAGTAACGAACCTCTGCTCAAGCTGGTCACATTTTAGTTGAATCTTTTCTGCAGGGAAGACACCACGTGCGGCCAGTTCACGACCCACGGCAATGACATGGTCGATCTTCTCGTCACTGGCCGGGAGAGCGGCCATGAAACTTTCGTGACTCTGAATAGCCTCTTGCAGGGCTTCGGGGGCAGTCTGAAAAGGACGAAGTCTCACTCGTTCTAACACAGGACGCTTATTCGTGCATGCAAGGGTGATGGCAACACAGCTGATAAGATAGTATTACATAATAAACTATCTAACTAGAAAACGGTTCGCCCTTAAGGTGACGTACGCGTTGCGGTAGCGGTGGTTCGACTAGCTAGAGTAATAGCGTGGTCATCCGTCCTCAAAGGCACTTACGTATTTTATGCTCTGACCCATCTTACTGGTCGATTAGTAGTTTGGGATAGTCTAACTTGAAAGTGGTTAGTGACTATGCGTCTAGAACAAAGGTTTACACATACTTTCAGCGAGCTCTACCATACAAAAACCAATACACGCTCCTGACAACCGTGTGCTATCCCAACGGGCAGGAAGACTCCTTAAGCTAAAGCACTCACCGGAACTTCCTTGGAGACGAAATTTTCCTGCTTATTGATAATGACATCCGACTGGATCGCATCGCGGAAGAAGGTCTAGAACACATGGTTAAAAGGGTGATTTAAAACGGAGAAAAGGAAGATAATAAAGCCCTAGGAAAATTCGAAGAGGAGAGGTGCACAAAACGCGTCCTCTCTTGATAGTGAGAAATCGGTCGGGATCTCAAGTCATTTGCCAGAGGCAAATTGGTTTTAGACAACAATTTATAACTGTAATTAAGACAACGTATGTTACATTCATACAAAAACCGCCCAGAAATGAGTACTCATACTAACCTGAGCTTCCAAATCCTGCTTAAGGACTTTTTCACGGTCGTCACACATTTTGTGCAGAGCGTCCCAGTTTTCAGCGATCACGTCCAGACGCTGAGCCAAGTATACATACTGTGGATCAGTTTGGTTTTCTGTAACCTTGCGTCCCATTTCCATCAAGCGGTTGAAATCGTCAGCGTAGCCATCGATCTCCATCCTTACTTGCTCATGGTCTTGGACGAGTTTTTCCGCTTCCTAAAAGTTGGGATAAGTGAGAGTCATGGGTGAGACAGTAAACAAAAATTCAATATGTCTTAACACTATAAAACAGGACATCGCTATGGTGCTGATCTAAGTCACAGTCGAAAATGGTCTGACACAGTTAAGTAAACTAGATTACCGTCAATGTATTAGGAACGTCCTCTGATGCAACGGTGGTCTGCATGCGCCGCAACCACATCTGGAAGTGATCGAAGTCCTGGAGGAACCGTTGTAATTCGCTTGAATCATTGAGCCTGTCATCACGTTCCTTTATCATGTCCTTCAATTCATCCCACAGATCATGAAGTTTCCTCCTCTCCGTCTGAATAACCTGGAGAAAGTACGGGTAAAAAACACTTGGCAACTTGCCTCAGAAGCCTCTGGTTTCGCAGCCTCTAAAAGGTCTGCCTGTTCGTCCACGTAATCAATCTTGGCTTGGATAGCTTGCAGATCACGCTGAAGACCACTTAACCTGCGCTGCAACTGCATAATTCCCTCCAAGTCGTTGCCCAACTCGTCTGTGGACTCGATAAGATGCTCCTTCTCCTTAATCCAATTAGCCGTTTCAGTACATTCAATAAGATACTGGTTGTACTGGTAAGCCAAATCCAACTGACCCTTCTGTTTTTCAACCAAGTCAGCAAGTTCATTCCAGGTGGCGTTTAGTGTGTCTTGGCGGACCACAATTTGTTGGGCGTCAGGATGATCCTTGTCTAGAAGCGACGCAGACAGTTTGTTCACATTGCCAACTTTTTCAGCGTTGCTTGTCATCTCTTTTTCGAAGCACTCAAATCGATGGCGAATAACTTCGAGTTCCTCGATCTCATCGGAAGGACAAAGCGTGGTAAGCAATTTCTCCTTTTCAGTAATCCAGGTCCTAACAGTGTCGGAGACGTCGAAGAGTTTGTACATGGACAAGGCATCCAAAAGGCGTTGCTGTCTAAGCTTAGCAAGCTCTATAGCCTTCGAATAGTTCTTATCTACACCATCGAGGCGTGAAGCAATCAGTCCGCCATCAACATCAGGGTAATCGGAGACCTTGGCAGCTGTAGCATGCAGCTGATTGATGGTGTCGCGGTAGGCCTCGAGGTTCTCCATTAGTTCCTGGTTGATTTTAAGGAGCGACTCGGTGGTTGACATCTTAACACCAACGTCCTCGTTGCTTGCGATACGCTGTTGATCAAGGAGCCAGGCATCAGCATCATCACAATCGGCCATTAATTGGAAGAATTCTTGGGACTCCTGTAGACGCTGTTTACGCTCAGCTGTCTGATCAGCCAACTGGTCCCACAAATCACGCATCTCATCGATGCGTCGTTGTATATTATCCTTTCCGCGGTTGTCCTCCTCAATCAACTTCTTGCCGGCATCCAAACTTGCCTGGAATACGCCATGCCGAGTTTGGCACTCCTCTTCCAGGGCGCGGTGCTTTCTCAGAAGTCGCTCCACAGAGCTGAGATCATGGCCGAGATCCGGACTTGACATCAGCTGGCTCTTCTCTTTTATCCACTCCTTTTCGTCGTCCATGTCCCAGAAGAACTGCCACATCTTGCGCGAGTCGTCGAGGGCATGCTTACGGGTCGCTGCCAGTTCATGCAGTTGGTCGTAAGCTGCGCGCAGGTCCTGCCCGCGCTTTTCAACAACTTCGGGCTCAATAGGCCGATAATCGACATTATCGGGGAAGTTACAGTCAATAAAAACTTGCGCTTGCTCCAGAACATGATTCAGACGCCCGTCGAGGACACGAATATCGGCTTCTAGGAGCCCATGTTTCTGTAATAAGTCCTCAACACCCATGAGGTGCTTGCCGTAGTCTTCGGATTTTAGCCGGTTACCGATTTCATCGATCCAGTCCTGTAGGTATGACATTTCCTGGAAGACGTGCTGCAACTCAAGGCTCAAAGCCAAACAGCTACGTCGTTTGCGGAGCAAATCAAGCAGATTTTGCCACAAGCGAAGGACGGTCTCGCGTCGGGCTTGTATTCTGTCATTATCATAGTAATTCTCAAGCTGCAATTCCTCTGCAACACTAACAACAGCATTGACGCGCTCGGCGTAGGCAGAGATGTCGGTTTCAATGGCCTCATGTTTCTTTGTGGCAGCCTCCACAGCAGCCAGATCAGAGCCGAAATTGTACTGGGTCACAAGACGCTGGTTCTCTGATAGCCAGGCCTCACGCATCCCAGCCTTACGATCAAAGCGAGTGGCTAGTTGGGCAAGCTTCTCTTGGCGGATTAGCTCGTCACGGAGAGCAAGCTCGCGTGCATGTTCAGCCCTTTCGAGGTTCTCCCAGGCCCGATTAATATCGGCAATCGATTTTCCCTCAGGTGGGGTGTAAACTTTCTGATTGTTTGCTCGCATCTTGCTCTGCAAGGTAAACAGCAGAACCTCAAGAGCTCCCTTTTCGGCAAACTTCGGTGGCTTGTCGACAGTCCTATACGTGTTGAAGCCAGCGAGTTGATGTTGGACGTCTGGCAAGGAATTTGCGAAGACCCTGTCGTTTAATAATTCAATGGTATTCTGGATCCAAGTGAGGAGGTCCGTTGTCAGCTGTTCATATTGGTTAGTCAATTCGGAGGACTCGATGGCCTGGTTCACAACTTTCCCTATCCTCTTAGAATGCACACTATCAGCCTTCAGCTTGTTGAAAAAGTGGTAGTACGTCACGACATAGGTTATGATTGATTTTTCATCGGGCTGCTCGACACAAACGTCGGCAGGATCAAGGAGAGGAGTGATGCCCAACTTCTCTTCAGCGACAGAAAATGCGTTCTGAAGATTCTGAAGAGGTGTTGCTTTCGAAAGTTTTGCATAGTCAATCAGATCGGGTCTGTGTTTATGGATCAAGGCGTTGAAAGCCAAACCATCCCGCCATGAGGTCGTGAAGTTTCGAACGTTTACGTTGTTATATCCGGCGGTTTTCATCTGACACCAAAGTAGAAGAGCATCCTTGGCACAACGTGTCTCGCTGGTCTGGTACTCCTCGACAATGATATCCTGAATCTGGAAACGGAGGATAATTGTCCAGATGAGACCGAGGGTGAGGCGCTGGTTCCCATCGACGATATCATGCGCCCCAACGTTTTCCAAGTGGACATGCTGATCACACAAAAAATTCAGGGATTTGTCGACATTTTCGAGACAGTGGATGCGCATTTTTCCGCGGGTGGGTTTTGGCAGTCTCTCGCCAGATAGAATTTCGAGAAGTTTTAACAACACCTTTCCATCTCGCAGGTCAAGGTAAAGATCTTCGATATGGTCGTTCACAACGGCTAAATGCGAATTGACCCATTTGGTGAAAGTTTTCTTTTGAACAATTTCACGCTCATCTATAGCGGGTAAAAGTGGAGTGGACAAGACCTACCTGCTAGTGCCTTAATACGCGAGCGTTCGTAAAGCTTGGCGGTGCTATTGCCGCTTTCGAAATCGTCTTCGTCGGAAGTATAGTTATTGGCCTGAGCGGCCGAATTTTGATCCCAGTGCAGATTCTGGTGCAACGTTTGAATTTCCATAGCTAAATAAATCAGGAAAGACAAGAAATGAGGAGAAACTACAGGTCAAGCGCTATGGAAAGACAGTGTCGAAAACAGTAACAAATGAGACCGCGTCGACTCATGATTTTCTCACTGGCTGGACTTTCAAAATATCCCTACAAGTGCAGATGACAAAAGTTTAAAAAAATTGACTGTAAGTTATCTGACGGTCGCAATGCGACGCCATGGAATAAGACATATAAATAAAGCCGATTCTGTATAAATAGACGTTGGTACCCTTCTATGGCAGTAACATGCTGGGATTTCGTTTACGTTTCAAAATAGCAAAAGCTCGAAGAGACAGATTGATGACTTATGAGCCATCGAACTATTTAGTCAATCGAACATAAGCACTAATGGTAGATCACTTCCCATGTTGGGTAGTCGGACCCTATTTTACATAAATCCAGCGACCTTATGTTTCCGTTTAAAATCGAAATGTAGTGCCTACTTACCAAGGGGAAGTGGAGCTTAATTCGAAGCCAATTACTTTAGGGAGAAACAGCATTAAGGACACGAGAATACCGTCTAAACACCAGGTTTCTGCATAGATGATGCTTAACAGCCTGTTTTACTCATCAATGGTAGAATCAGTTAGCTTAATGGTCTGCCTGGATGACATACTTCAGAATGTATAAACAATCGCTGGCGATGTGTACGGATGAGTGAGCAGCAAATTATACAATGAATGAAACCCTAGGAGTTTCCAAGTGGGAACAATTTTTAGCAAGCCATTTCCGAGACGACAGAGGCTGCGGCAGTGTGTGACAGTGTTGCTCACTACTAAACACCGTTGAGTCAAAATAAAATACTGTGAGAAAGATCAGGCTGAAATGGTCGATAGGGATTTGGCTAGGGACGAAATGACACACGGGACTCCGCCTATAGAACACGGTCACGAGGTCTAGCAACTAATGAACAAACGACGCGGACCAGCAACGGTACTGTCCGCATTTTTTGAGCCAACGACAAGTCCGAGTAACATGCTTTTAAGAGTAAATGTTGCTGAGAAAAATATCCATAAGCGGGATGGGGTGTTTGGCTGTAGGGAACAGTATGCCTGTCAAGGACCTAAATCAAGTAATTCGCGATATCCGGCCACCGTTACTCAAAAGCAACAAAGTGTGGCAAACGATCAGTCGAGAATAAGACGACGGACGAGACACAGGGACTAACTCGCAAATTGTCTAGGCAAAAGGTGGATATACGCTTCCAGATAACTCGTGTCGGCTGACGGGTCATGGTAGCAAAGCCTAGTGGACACTGGCATCCGGATGCATATTCAGATGCTGAAATCTACAAACAAATGCTAATAATGTTTCTAGGAGTTAAAGGACGTAACGGAAGACTCTGAACAAAAGTCTCCACTTTGGAGTAAGACAGCAAAAGGATTACGTAGAATACCTTTCAGCGACACTTCCAACGGCGCAGGAAAAGCGCCATACAGGATCTGGTGTCCATTATCGAAAACAGAGTAGATAAACAAATCGAATATCTCGCAGGAAGTTTTAGTTTATTTTAGATTTGAGGCCAGAATTCAGGATTAACTAAACTTCCCCGAGAGAGTCCACACTATTGGGCAAGTCCATTCGAACAGCAGGGTTTACCATGGAGTTTTGTATATAGGAAGAATGTTATTATCGATAAAGTCAAGGGAGACTGGAATGGCCATTTGGGCATATTAGCCGTCGTTAGCCAGTCATACCCAACCCCGAAGTGTTCGACATTTTTTGCTCGAACTCGCGAACTGCTAGTTAGAAGTCCAAAGCCTGGAACCACTGGACCACGGGCCTGCTGTCCGGACCCGCTTTGCATATATAACCGTATTGCCTTAACGAAATTGTTAGTCAGAGCAGACTGCGTCTATCTCCATATACTGTTTATATAAAATGTTTGTTGCACGAAAGATCCGTTCTTTCGTTCCATCAAAAGGAACTTCTGAGGCCTTCTCTCCACGGTGTATGTGCGTCTCCCATATTCAGAGGAGATGTACATTCCTGGATATCTGCAGCACTCTGATTCCGAAATAAGAATCACCCTTGTGTGAACCTCTATAAAAGCTTCAAATCCCATGCCTCAAAACGCAGGCTCTAATCGGTGCAAAACGCACTTTCCTTCATCAATGCACAGTGGGAGAACGAATTAGGGGACTTATATGCCATGGGATGAACGGACTACTCGTAGCTGCAAAGCTGACTTTGAAGTGACCGCAGTTATGCTTCCACCAAAGAGTTTGGTATGCACATGAATTGTGAAGGCGTTCCACAGTCACTAGAGTATAAAAACTACGAAGCATGTCTGGAGTTAATTTCTTGAGCACAGACAAAGCTGCTTCGGTAACCGCAGAGCCAGCCGCAGGCTTTCGCAAACCAGTGGATCATGTAACCAATTTTCTATTAGGATGCAGACACTAGTTCTCACGCATTTCAACCCGCTACCGCAAATAATTACGCTACCATTTGGAAGTGCCTTATTCTGCCTAGCTAGTGAAAATGTAGACCAAGAGCATATTCCCCAGTACGCAGAGTGAAATTGCTGTCTCAAGTTAGCCTTCGATCTTCCCCTCCGTGATACAGATTAACAAAGCAAGTGGGACAAGATTTTTCTCATTTACTCTTTCGTGTATGCTCTAGGACACCAGAAACCCTGGCATAAACAGTTGTGCACCCTATCGTAGGATAAAATAAAATAGATAAATGATGCTTATTAAAGACCCACCGGGACCCTGTCATATCAGTCAAATAAATTTTTATATGGCTTTTAAACGAGTCAGACAGAAGTCGTACAACATTCAATACATGGTTATAGAATAAGTAGTCCGTTAAGAAAAGTGGTGAGCGAGCACTGAAAAAAACAACACTCTGGAATAAAAAAATGACTGGATTAGCTTTAAAGGAGAAAAGGAAATCTCGCTAATAATAAGACAAAAGTGAGGGCAGGACCAGTCTGCATGTAGCAGTGTATAGCGAATTATAAACGGACATCGTCAGGGCAGAAATAAATGTCAGCCATCTGGGGTAAGTATGCAGGCCAGACAGGACCGTCCTGCATGCGGTATTGTATAAGGGCTTCAAAACGGACGTCGTCAGGGCGGAATTCATACACCGGATGAGACTATTCGCGTCAAAGAGGCCAGACGAGGGGAAAACAGACGCGATCGGCCACAGTCCACTTCGAACCCAACCGAGGAGTGGGGAAGGGAAACACGACCAAGCTACTAGTAGACAGCGAATACAGAGGGTTCTGCCGTGAGCGTCGACAGACCGCTTGCTGTCGGAATGAGGAGATGACATCAAGAACCGCGAAAATCGTCGCTAGGGGGGAGGAGTGATAGCAGTGGATTTAGTAGTCAATTCAAAACAGGGGGTTCCAAAGATATGAGTGAGGGTTTCCACTTGATCTACCACTAAGTTCCAGGAGGACCCTTCTCAAAGTCAAGAAGCTGAGTGCTCGGGAATAAAACGGCCAATAGTGACTTTATACTTTCCGGTGTAAGGTGTTTGCGTAATTTCGATTTGAATACCGACAATTTAGGCGATGACCTAATGTCTGGGGAAGATTATTCCAAAGGAAGGCATATTTGGAAGCAAAGAAGATGGAGTGCTTTTATGTAATGCAAAGCGCGGCGGAATCACCATGCAGGAGTTGCGCGTGGCATGAGACCGATTTCTCGGAGTAAGATTGTCAACGAGCGGAATATTGGAGCTAGATTTAATGCGAAAAAGAAAGCAAAGACCAGCTTCGAGTCTTATAACTCACAAAAACTTAATGTTCGCCAGCTGGCATCTCTGAGTATAAGAAGTACCGGATGCGACTTAAGAGAACGATTTCCAGGTGAAAACTCCCTGAACATTTTCGATTCTACTACGGTCCCAGGCATTCCTTAAACCAGAGAAAGGACAGCCGTATTCGAGGACTGGAAGAACAAACAGTTGATAAAGTCTTAGCTTCATTTCTGAAAGGAAAAATTATGCGATATGAACCGATGTATCCGTGCGGCTCTGGCAGAGATTCTATCTGCATGAGATGATAAAAAAAGTTTATTTTTACAATGTAAACCTAGGCCCTTTATGGTTAAGCATTCCGAGAGTGTGTTATTCTGGAAAATTATGGGACCAGGAAGTTTGGCAGCGCCAAAGGACATGAAACTGCACTTGACTGATGAAAACTCCATCTGTCATGTTGAACCTCATCTGCTTAAGCGTAGTAAATCGGCGCTAATTTCTTCAACACAAATATTTACGGTGTTCTTAGAATGTGAGTAAACACACTCCAGGTTATCAGCATAAATAAAAGTTTGCGAATTTCTGATTTCAGTCGAAATATCATTAATTCGAAGGAGGAAGAGTAGCGGACCCTGAACCGTGTCTTGAAGTACTCCACTCTTGATCGAGTGAGATGTCGAGGAGCTATTACCGACCATGACTTTCTGATATCGGTTGGAGAAATAGGACCAGAGGAAGTCGGGTGGAGGAGACCGGGTGCCGAAAACTTCCAATTTTACTAAAAGACGTCTATGGGACAACTTTTCGAAGGCTTTACTATGATCAAAGTAGATAACTACCACTGACTGCTGATCACTACGAAGAGAAGTGATTAGATTACGAAATGCCAAGTGGCAAGTTTCGCAGGGTTGTTTAGGTCAAAACACATGCTGATTAGAGCGCATAAGCCGATTAGCTAGACAAAAGTCAAGAATTTCATTGAAAATTATCCTTTCAAGAAGTTTTGCTAGAGACTGTGTTTTGTGTGCGCCCCGACAGTTATTGGCATCGGACCGACATCCAGACTTGAAAACAGGAATGATAATTGACGTCTTCCATGTTTCAAAAAAATCCTTTTGAAATATAGACAGAGAATAAGTGACTAAAGAAAATGGCCAGTTCGGATGCCTGTTTAATAGTCGAACTGAGAATCCCGTCCGTTCCTGGGCAGTGTGGGTTATTCAGACGACTTATGTGTTTCTTAATGAGATCTGAGGAGACGTCGATTGTACTCAGTGTCCTTTCTGAAAGTGAACGAAAGAAAGTGACTGTTTTTGGACTCAGTATTAAGGTGCTTTGCAAGGAAAGCACTAAAGAACTCCGCCTTGTCAGTGTCATCCATGAGGAAGTGTTTGTTATCGTTTAGCAGGGATGGAAGTTCGTGACCACGGTTTGAGGCGAACCGATGACGGAAGATGTTAGAGACGGATTTGCAGGGTTCGTATCACGGAGGGCAAGTTATTCCCTTTGCTTGTCGCGCTCTTGGCGCATGCTTGAGGCCGTTTCGAAAATCTCTGATTCTAAGATGAACGGATAAAGAGGTGGTGGGTAGGTCACGCAGCTGCCGTCTCAACGTTTTTAGTCTGCTGCGAATAAAATGAGGAATAAGGGAATCTTAAGAATTAGACCTCTCAGTCAGTCAGTCAGTGTATTTGAGGGAAATAGGCTTACGCCTCTGAACTCCCTATTTGTACATAAAAAATCGATAAATTAGCAGAATGTGAGGGAATTACAGCAGTAAGTGTATGCAGGCATTGATTCACATATGTCACTGGTCTCATGGCTAAAAAGTCACATAGTCCGCTTGGTGCTGTAGCATATGTCTGCCAAGTCTACATTTAAATGTTGCCACAGATTGAGACATAACAACCGTCTCGGGCAGATTATTCCACGGTTCCACGACACGGTTGGAGAAGAAATATTTTCTCACATTCAATCTACCCTGGGGCACACGTAGCTTTAAGGGATGTCCCAGGAGGTTAGTTGTTGTGGCGAGTTGGAAAAATTCATCGCACCGAAGGACGCAGTCCAAGCCACGCACGATACGGAAAGTTTGTATCAAGTCTCCGCGCAACTGCCTATAACTCAGAGGATAGAGACTAAGGTTAGTTAAGCGGATCTCGTATGGCAGTGCACTTTGACCTCTTACTAATTTTGTGGCTCACCTCTGCACCCTTTCGAGCAGATTGTAATCCTGATGTGTCCATGGTCTCCAGGCCTGAATTGCATATTCGATGTGCGGCCTTACAAACGTGCCGAAGACTTTGGAGAAGCAGTCTTCATCGAAAACTGCGAATGCCCGCTTGATAGCATATAGCATTGAAGTTGCGGCCTTGGCCGCCTTACAACATTGCGTAGCAGGCTTAAGGCTGTCTGCAATCCAGACTCCGAGATCTTTCTGTGTTTCTGCTTCTCGAAATGATATTCCGTTCAGATGGTATTGCCGCGTACTAGGAGTCTGATTTCCGAGGCGCAGTATGGTACATTTGGTCAAATTGAAGGACAAGAGCCATCTGCGGGACCACTCGTCCAATCGACAAAGATTTTCTTGGAAGTTGGTCTCATCGGCAGCATTCTGGATAACTTTCCAGATTTTTATGTCATCCGTAAACATGGCGTTATCACAGTCCAACCCATCTACACAATCATTGATGAACAAGAGAAAGAGGGTTGGTCCCAGCACCGAGCCTTGTGGGACTCCACTCTCTATGAATGTGCACCTTGATTGCTGTCTTTCTACGCAGACAATTTGGGAACGGCTGACGAGGAAGTTCTCGATCCATTTGAGAAGTTTGCCGCCGACGCCCATTATTCTCAACTTGTGCAGGAGACGTTGGTGCGGGACACTGTCGAACTCCTTCCGGAAATTAATATAGGCCACGTGCACTGTGTGTTTAGCGTCCAGTGCTCTTGTCCAACCTTGCATTGTATATAGTAAGTTCGTTACACATGATCTTCCCCTACGGAAACCATATTGTGCATTGGACAAGAGGTTGTGGGTTTCCAAGTAAGCCATCAACTCCTTTTTGATGGTTTTCTCCATCACTTTGCAGCAGATTGATGTCAGACTGGCGGGTCTGTAGTTCGTTGCAAGAGCACGACTACCGCTTTTGTAAAGGTGTGTAATGTGGGCCGTCTTCCAGTCTGTGGGAAGGATTCCAGCATCGAACGATTCCTGGCACAGAAAGGATAGTGGTTTGGCCAGCACTCGGGCAAGCTCGAAAAGCAGCTTTGCTGGGATCTCGTCCGGACCGGGAGATTTAAATTTCTTCAAGCTTTTTAGTTCTTCCAAAATCGTTGATTCTCGAAACACGATATCTTCGATAGTGGGATCTCCCGTGTTCTCGGAACTAGTGGGAATAAAGTCTGCTTCTCTTGTGAAAACGGATTGGAAAAATTGAGAAAAATGCTCAGCTTTATTTTTACTGTCCGATATCTCCAAACCGTCATCATTCCTCATGACAGGAATGGGATTCCTGTTACGTGTGCTCTTCCGCAAATAGCTGTAGAGCAATTTCGGATTTTTAACGGCTCGGTGAAGCAAATTGCTCTCAAAATCCCGTCGCCTCTTGAAAATCAGGCTTTGCACCTTATTTCTTTGAAATTTATATCTACGCGGCACAAACTCTAGGGATGTCCTTGGAAACATTGGACATGACGTCACGATGAATAGTTGCATCGCTACAGGATAGAAAGCCACACCAATCCAGTGATCCGATATAGTTATTCATTAAGTCGTTATGTACGCAATCGTACTTATTGAAGAGCGCACCAGTTGAGACCACTTAGAAAAATGTACACTATCTTGGAAGGGCTGGAATCTAGGTGGACAGATATTAGAAAGTCAGTTTGTTTCAGGACGGTTAAAATCCCCGGTGATTATTTTAATATCGAAAGCAGCTTCCGAAATTAATTTAAAGATTTCACAGTGTTATGAATCATCGTTAGTTACGAAGTTTAGGGGATTGTAGATAGAGCCAATAATTGCCTTTCTTTGCGGCAAGAGAATAGCAGATGCAAATCAGAAGTTTCCCGTGAATGAGAAAACATCCAGGTAATAGGGAGAGTGCTTTAGGTAAGATCTAAACTAAAGAAGACAACCGTCTCCACGCCTATTCGTGCGGTCTTGACGGAAAGTATCGAAGTCATCTATGAGAAGGGCAGAGCCAGGAATTAGAGAATGGGTCCAAGATTTTGCTATACACATAGTATCCGGCGTCATTTCGAGAGTGATGGCTCTGATTTGGGCCATCGTGTTTATAACAGATATGGCATTCAATAATATTATATCCAATGTATTTCGAACAGCAAGCCAATTGTCGACGGTATTTAGAAAAAATATGGAGCCGGATATGTGAGCTGTGAATTAACGAGGCTTGGAGAAAGAGTATCCGTTAATCTAGAGTTATTGACGTAGAGGGAGTCATCAAGAGAAGGCTGGGCAGAATACCTATAGGAGGTGGGGATCTAGTTTTCAAACAGTGGAATGCTAAGCGAGTTGGAACAGGGATAGGCTTATTGGTAGTTTTGTTGTGCAGGAGGAGGAGGAGGAGGAGGAGGAGAAGGAGGACGAGGACGAGGACAACGACGAGGAAGGGGAACCTAGAAGGAAGGTAGAGGCTAGTGGGGGAGGGTAGGCAGTTATAAGGATAAGAGAGTGGGAGACCACGTCAAGGTTGGAAGTCAAATGAGTTGGGTTGACTTACGTGAGAGAAGATGGTCTTAAATGGTGGGAATCCTGAACTAGGTTGAGGGGTAAATGAATCATGGCAATTCATGTATGAATTATTTACTGGATATATAGTAGGGCTTTGGTAAGTAACCGGTACGCAGGACAAAGAATTATTAGGGGATATAACTGGAGCTGCGGCGTTTTAGATGAGCTGGGCTGTAAAGACTTGGTAGATCTAAAGGAAGACGGAATACCCCTAAATGGAATTGTACTACCTTTTTCGGGCCTGAGTCCGATTCAGGATGATAGGAATTACTGCCTGTAGACAGGAGGAGACACTAAAAGAACAGTTCAGTTCAGTTCAGTTTATTGAGGGAAATAGGCGTAAGCCTTTGAGTACCCTATTCGCAACGTAAAAAAATTTGTAGTATACAGATAAACGTTCTGGGCTGAAATAGCTCAAACACGCCCATGATGGTAGGACAGAAAGAGAACGAGTTACAGGGGGTGAGCTCTACTTCTCACCGCTCTTGGTCATTTCGGAACATAAATATGTCCAGATTCCTTTTAAAACTTTGTATAGATGGTGACATTACAACAGCTGCGGGAAGGGCATTCCATGGTTTGACCACTGGAACAGAGAAGGAGAACTTCCGCACATCCAGCCTTGCCTGCTGATTGCGCAGTTTTAGCGGGTGTTCTCGGAGGTTGGTCGTGGTAGCAAATTCAAATAAGTCCTCGAAGGCCAGACTGCAATCCAACCCCTTAACAATGCGGAAGGCTTGCAAGAGATCCCCGCGAAGTTGCCTGTAACTCAAAGGAAAACGGTCTAGATTTACTAGGCGGGTGGCATAAGGAAAGGAGCTTTGACCCCTAACCATCTTCGTGGCTGTCCTCTGGACTCTTTCGAGGCAGTTTTAATCCTCAACCGCCCACGGCCTCCAGCCTTGTATCCCGTACTCCAAATGCGGTCGGACGAGTGTTCCGAATGTCTTTGAGAAAACATCTTCGTCAAAGTCCATAAACGCACGCTTGATGGCGTACAGTACGAATATTGCCGTTTTTGCCACTCTCGAGAAGTGGGCAGATGGCTTTAAGGAACTGGTCTTCAGCACACAGAGGTCATTTTGGGCTTCGACCTCGGGTAAGGCTGCACCGCCCAGAAAGTAGTCTCTTGTGCTGGCGGATTTGGCTGTGTTGCCCAGGCGAAGTATGCTACATTTGGCAACGTTGAACCGCAGGAGCCAACGGTTTGACCACTCCTCCAACCGATTCAGGTTCATCTGCAGTCTGTCTTCGTCGGCAGGACCCCGAATTTCATTCCATATCTTCATGTCATCGGCAAACCTTGCTAATTCGCAGTCTAGAGCTCTTGCGGCATCGTCCACGTAGATAAGGAACAAAATGGGCCCCAGTACTGAACCCTGGGGGACACCACTCTCGACCATAGCAGGGTCTGATTTTCCCCGACCGATGCAGACAACCTGGTGTCGACCCAAAAGGAAGTTTTCAATCCATTTAAGGAAGTTGCCACTGATCCCTATTTTTTAAGTTTATGTAAGAGCCTCTGCTGTGGCACAGTGTCTAACGCTTTCTGGAAGTCGATGAAGGCTATGTGGACCGCGTGGCTGTCGTCGAGAGCTCGGGTCCAGCTCTGGAGAGGTTGCAGCAAGTTTATCGTGCAGGATCTTCCCTTTCGGAACCCATGTTGGCATTTCGATACCAGGCCGTGAACTCCCAGGAAATGCATCAGTTCACTCTTTATGATCCTTTCCATAACTTTGCAGAGAATGCATGTCAAACCTATGGGCCTGTAATTTGTCGTTGCTGCCCTGTTACCTCCTTTGTGTAGCGGAGTAATATGGGCCAGCTTCCAATCAATAGGAAGTGTTCCAGTGTCAAATGACGTTTGAAAGAGCATCGACAAAGGCACAGAGAGCTCACTGGCAAGTTCCTTGTGAAGCTTGGGTGGAATCTCGTCTGGTCCTGGCGACTTCGATTCGTTCAATGCTTCTAACTCTTTTCGAACAATGGCTTCTGAGAAGAGTATATCACTGACGCTTGGGGTCGGCAGTTCTTCTGTGGAGGGAGGAAGGAACCTTGTCTCGTTTGTGTAGACTGATGGGAAGAACTGTGAAAAATACGCAGCTTTAGCCCTACTATCAGCAATCTCAACGCCATCAGTAGTCCTTATTAATGGGATTTGATGCCTGCTTCTTGTACTTCGTCGGAGGTAATTGCAGAGTAATTTTGGGTTGTGCGTTGTCTTTTGTAGCAAGTTCTTCTCGAATTCCCGTCGCGTCTTCATGATCAGGTTCCTCAATTTGTTCCTCCGTGTCTTGTAGGTGTTAAAATATTCAAATTGCCCAGTGACGCTGTATTTTCTCCACAATTTGTGCTTCCTGTTGATTTATTTCTTGAGGTTACTATTTAGCCACCCAGGGCGTTTATTCAGTCTTACACTTGTCAGTGTGCAGTGGTTGTTGATAAGCTGCAGAAGGACATTCTTGAACAGCTCCCAGTCATCGCTGGCATTTCCCGTAAACAATGAGCCCCAGTCGATACCGGATAAGTCTGCCCTCATCTGATTGAAGTCGCCTCGCCAAACATTCCGTCTTTTTTGGTCTGGAGAATGCGAAATGGAGAATAACGAATAATCTCACATAAGCACTACGTGATCATTTCGGCCAAGAGGCGGCATGGGGGTGATCTCGTGTATGCTGTCTGGTGTTTTCGTAAAAACCAGATCAAGGCAGTTTGCCCTTTGTCCTTCACGTGTTCTCGTTGGGAACATTACATGTTGTGTGAGGGACGCCTTTAATGTTTTGTTCAGCAGACGGTAATCGAATGACGATTTTGGACCTGACGCTTTGAGGGTATTCCAGTTTGTTCCTGGAGCGTTGAAGTCACCCATGATCATGATGTTAGGTCGACTGGAAAATTTCTCCAACTGCTCCAATAGTTGAGTGTCTGCGATTTGGTCTGTCCTAGGTGGTCGGTAGACAGTGAGGACATCGAGACACGGGAACCGATAGCCTTGATGGTCAATCAAATAGCTTCCGTGCCGCACGCAAACTTGGTTGTGTTTTCCGACACTGCCAGGCCTTCATTTACATACACAACTATACCACCGCCCTGACGATGTTCCCTGTCCCTCCGATAAATTTGGTATCCGGACAAGGCTACTTCACTATCGCTAGTATTTCCGGACAGCCAGGTCTCGGTTACTGCTAAAGCATCTGGAGAAAGCTCGGCAAGGCAAAGTTTTAGCTCTCCTAGTTTCGATATGAGGCTTTGGGCATTCGTGTACAAGCACCTCAGTTTTACACTAGCCGAATTTCCCGTTGCATTTGTTACTGTTTCGAGCATTACTCCGTTATCTCGAACGCCATATTCTCTGGGCTGATGGGTACCATTTATATGCATTGCTTCAGTCAGATCACTGGACATTATTCGTTTACTTGTGTTGCCGCCCTGAGTAGGTGGTGCAACGAAGGTATCTGTATTAGCTGAGTAGGTGCCGTCGTTCTTAGTCTTACAGGCTGGTTCCACTGAAACGGTATATATTTCTGAATTACCTTCCCTTTGGAGATAGCCAGATTGTGTTCGCCATCCTTCAGTCTTGATTTTAATTCCAAGACAAGTTCCCGGCGTTTCAGCCGTTCCGCTGGTGAATAGTCCGGTTGAAAAAAACCTGTTTGTCTATGTTTCTGAGGTCGGTTTTTTAGAGAGGACCAATATGATTTGGTCTTTGTTCTCCAGCATAATTTTGAGCGGGCGAGGTGGTTGTACTACCGTGCTGTCTTCACTCCTTTTTCCTATCCGGAATGCTTTCAGAACTCCTATTTCCATGTCTGTCTGGAGTAACTGATTAAGTAGACCATGAAAAGAAGCAAGGTCCTCTGAGACACGGTCTTCAGGTCTGACTGTATTCGATTCCGACAAACCCTGAATACCAAACACTGCTGACGAGCACGGTCCTCCTTACTTTGTCTTTCCGGAGAACTCGCTGCATGTGAGAGAGGACGATTTATGGAGTCGTCGCTTGGACGCACACTTTTGCTCTCTACCGACTGTCCGGAGTAGCCCATAAGGTCTGGCTGTGACTTCAGACTACCGTCATGGCGTTTTCCTCTCCCCTCTACACATGGGTTCATGTCTTCGCATTCAGATACGTGCTCTGTAGTGCGCTCGGGGTGGTTTTCAGAACAAGAGGGCAGCAGTAGACTGGATGACCCAGGTATATCGTCTCCAGGCAGAAGCGAATTCCCCTCACTCACAGCAAGAGGCTTAGACGAGGTAGCTTCTGCGCCAGGTAATTTTTGTGTGACATCGCTTAAGACATCTTGCGTGGGAATCGAGTCTGCCCTTATCGGCGGCTTCGTTCTCGTTGTCCTGCTGTTACTGGCGTCCGCGGTTTTGGCTACTGAGTTGCTACTAGTGATTGGAGATGTCCCCGAGGAGATATTTTTGGCGTTTTTTGCGTTTTGCTCTTCGTTTTCGGGCCTCTAACACTGGACACATTCTGGTCGTCTAGGATCTGCTTCACGAGCGTCCTTAAATCAGCAAGCTACTTTTCGAGTTGTTCTACTTTGATTTGGATACCTGCTCACCCCACACAAGGCCCATCTTCGTACCTCACGCTTTTTGTGGTAATTACGCTTTTTGCACGCTTTGCTGGCCGTTGGCTGAAAGCGCAGGTAGAGCGAGCACAGGTTCTGGACCAGTTCTACTGGACAGGCTATTTCTATCTTTGTTATGTCTTCAATTAATCATGCAATCAAAATCTTTCATGAACAATATGCACGTAGATGCGTTGGAAATTTGCCCCATTAATCTGATTTCGTGCATGTAAGGCACGTTGCACAAAAAGAGCAAGTGTGCAGCATTAGGATGCACTCTCAGTTATTTTAACATATAGTAATGTACATTGAAGCAAAATGAGTTCTTTAATTGTCGTCGTAGGAGCTCGTAATCGTTGCTTTGCGGACATCAGGTCGTCAAGAATCACGGTTCTAAATTCTGTTAGAGAGTCAGTGTTATTAATGGCCGCGTCATTTGGGGTCGCGTGCAAACGCAACTGGAAACTTCTATGTAAGAAACCTACACGAACTTGGCCTTTTTGTCCGCTTATTTCAAATACGAACACAAACCAGATTTTCTTAGATTGGAACAAGTAGTAGCCGGCCTATCTCATGCAGTGTTGACCGAAATTCCAGAATAAGCTTCCGATTTGCTTTGATTGGACCCCGACAGGACTTTAAGAAAAAATTACGATTATTACTACTTGAGTGGTGTTGTAATGTTAAGAACCGTACAGCATAATGCCAAGTTATTTCAGTCACATTTTTGCTTGTTTATCGATTTTTTATGTACAAATAGGGAGTTCAAAGGCGTAAGCCTATTTCCCTCAAATACACTGACTGACTGACTGACGTCGGGGTGCCGCTTTTTGAAGGAGCTTCCTTTCGGCTGTCTGAAAAAACTACAGCATATAAAAGGACCACTTGCTCAATAGACATTTTTTGCATTTATTTACGATGTCCGCATAAGTTCAAATGGATTTTATGTAAAACATGCACAAAATGCTCTTTGTTGTACTCCTTGGACAGTTAATTACACCTTTTTAAATTCTGTACCTGAAGAAAGGGTATTTTCAGTTTTTAAAAGACTTCTTGTTGTGAGGTTGTTCTAAGACTATGAACTGCCCAATCATGAATCATCGTGCCAGTACATTTGTTAATACTGCTTATAAAATACATAAACAACACGGCCCATATTCCTTGCAAAATGTATGAGTCCAGTATGGCGTTTTCTTAATAAATTTTAGAAATGTGGGATTTTCCTATCACGGAAAATATACAGTTTGTAGTTCGGAAAGCTTTAGTGCAAGTGTGATGGCCAGTCGGTTTCCAAATCATTCGAGAATATAAACAGCCTTCTCAAACCGAAAGGCACCTTCTTTTCCTGCAAAAAATTTAACCAAAATATAATCTGTTACCAACTGAACACAAGAAAGGATATTTTAACGCGTATTTTCTATAAAATATAGCTGAAAATGTGAGCACGTCGAAACCTAATGGGAAAAGTTCATATGCTCTGAATGGTCTTTTTACATAGTGTATACACTCTATAATACTTCCAGCCGTCTGCAATAACTATAGTATTTGCAAACGACTGGAAGGAAACCCATTCAAAAGTCGACGTCCTGAATTCACTGAAATATCTTGGGTTTATGCTGCATGATAATCAGTATCACAACGTTACTTAAGGAAGCTTTTCGGGTCGGAAATACATTTCGGAATTTCGGTTAACATTTCATGAGATAGGTCGGTTTCTGTAGCTTTGTAGATGGTCTAATACCGTCCACAAACACGGGACAGTTATTCGAATCCAAGACAGGCCATTTATATGTAGGAGAAAGAGTAGGGCTTTTTTAATCGAGCATTGAGGAATGCCACTGTTAAGGAGGAAACTGGATGACGCGCATTCCCACTATGGATGCCAAAACTCGCATTGAAATGTAAACTGTTACTTTATTGATTGTAGTTATTGCTAAACCATAGGGCAACGAACATATTGTAATATCCTTCGAGCATTCTATGGTGTCCCAGTCTAAATCCCTAAAAAACTGGAAACAAAGATCTGGGAGGGAGATTTTCTAGCATGCGAAGGCAAGTCTTAGCAAAATCGTGAACAGTTATTCACACTGCCGGGAACTGACAACGAATAGTGTAGTAAAATATTGTGGTCTCCGGAATCGATGACTAAAAGGGGCCAAGATGAAGAGATAAGCATACAAGACAGCAATATATAAAACCAGCATCTAAGCCCTATGAAAATATCAGCACCTCCAACTGATCTTCACGGTTCTGCTTAGTCTTGTTGGGCACTTTCCAATGCACCATTACGTCAACACGATTTATCCACTCCCATACTACAAAGGACCAATGTCGCCATAAATGAAAAGATGCTTTCAATCGGTCCACACTGCAATACCATGTTGCCGTTCAGTTTGGGACTAGCGGTCACACTCCTGTTCACTCCAGCAAAAATGGCACCAAGATTCAGAAGGCAACGACACAGTATGTATAACAGTACCGGCATGCCACGACAGCAACTTCAGATGCTAACTGCCCATCGTTCCGGTCCATCGCAGTGCCTTTGGAGAACCAATGTCTCGAACCCCAGTCAACACACATCACTGTCCCAACACTGTCCCAAACCTATTTGGCGCACACACCGAAACATTGCGTGAACCCACTCAACTGCATGTGTATGTACATTTGTAATCAACAGAACACCAGGAATCACGTTTTCAGCAGTCATTCAGTGCAATGCACGAGAACAGTAATGTAGAATGGAACATCGTATGTAGGCGTGTGCGTCTCCCATTTACGAGTTCTTGTGAGGCCTGGATCATGCGGAATTCTGGAGCAGCATATGTGTTGCATGCAGAAATGAAGGCTTTAACGACACGTCGTTCATTAGAACCAATCTTTACCCCAGTAAGCCCAACTCGAACTTTCCATTGACATGGGAAAGGGGAAGGAGATTGAGGCTGATTCAACCCACCTCGCCAGCACCATCCCCACACTACTAGCAATAAAATGTGTTTTAATTACGATGAATTAAAATTTACAGTTTTGACGATTGTCCATTGAGGAGACAAGCCAGTCTTATTGTGGAACGAGCACTCGATTGTAAAGGCTCCTCCTTAATACAGCCCTCGTGGTGACTATCCTAGCGAGACATCCGATACTTCTATTCGAAGACTGTTATGTATACAGTTAAGGACTAAGGCGTGTCTGCGCACGCGAATGATTTTTTTCAAGCCAGGTAAATCTACTCGTCTTCCCTTATCTTCACTAGACCTGACCTTGCCTTGCCACAGGGATACAGGGAACGCAGATAGGCTGTGGAGAGATATGTGCTGTGAAAGTCACTACCATCCCATTTCCGGGACAGCGGTAGTCTTCATCATTTGTGATGGATGGGCTGTCAGTAACCTCCTTATGCAGTTCATTCCACGTATTTTTAACCTTCTGCTTATGTGTCATCTGGCCTGTCCGGTAGTGTACATGCTGCCGGCAAAGCAGTGCGGAACTGCTACGGATACGAAGAACATAGCTGTGTTGGAAGGGTAGATCACAGCCGAAGTCGTATGTCGTACCTACTGGTTTCATGTTTGTGAAGTTCTCTGCAGTCGTCTGCGTGTGAGGGTGGAAGAATTGAGCATTACCAGGCCCATCATGGTTTTGATATCATGAAACGAATGAAAAAACGTATTGCTCGTTGGCAAACATTTTGAAAACATCAGCAATAGCTCCAGTGTCACACGACTCAGATAAAAAGAAGGAAGAGCCGAAACTTTGTCCGGCTCTGACGCTCTTTTCTACCCAGATGTTCCTGTCCGATGCCAGCTTTGACTGCATATCGTACAATTCAGACAAAGCAAGTTGGAGGCTAGTTCTGAAGTGTGCACCGGAAGGGCTTGGTTCTAAGGAGATCGGAAGGCCATATTGGCATTCCAATCAGTTTCACTGACTGTGTGCAAAAGGAACTTTCAACATCGACGTTTCTCTTATAAACCAAAATGAAGTCACTGACTTGCCTGGCTGATGGATAGGTTGTCACCTTGATGACCTTCCTACTCAAGGACCATTCGTCAAACGTTTGCAACTTAATAAAATCACGCTGCCTACCTGAAGAATATTGTACAGCGGAGTCCGATTAGCCCGACTACCTGTTAACTGAGTCGGCCGTTTCTTCCCGTCATAGACTGCAGGATAGAAACAAAGAACATTTATTACTTGGAATTTACTTCCCTTATTAGGACGTCGAATCCGCCTAGTTGCACTAGCGATATTCCATGTCAAAATTCATAAAGGCAGGGCCAGGGAAGTAGCCCGCATTTTGGCTAGACAGCAAGGCGGTCCGCTGGTCAGCATTTCAGCAGAAGATCTCATCTGGGGTAACAGCGCGTGGAGCTAAGCGAGCTCGCCAACGAGATGCCGACAATGGTGACGCGTCGTCCGGAGGAATGACCCGGCAGCCGAGGGCGACCAAAGCAGGAGTGAATTGTGCGGTGGCGGGTGTCTGAGGGAGGGCGGGAAGAACGAGGTTAGCGGCCTAGACGCCTATTGTCCACTGATTGACTTAAGCCAATGTTAGTCGGTTTGCTCGCACTTTTGCGTCACAAGTCGCTCTCTCACTACCAAGGCTCAAAAGAAAAATTGTCCTACGGGACCCAATGAGGAACCGACAGTTAAATATCATTTATTGCCGGATGGCGCCGAAATTAGGCATGTCGAGGTCTATAATCATACGTAT